GATGCCTGTGCTCTGAATACAATGCTCTACAAAATAAGGTCAGCAGAGAGACCAGGACAGGAGACCTCAATCTGGCAGTCGCTTACATAGAGGGAGAGAATGCCAAGAACAGAGGCCATAGGTTTCATCCCAGCCTTCTTCTGAAGATGAGCCCCCACTCCATCTCCAGTCTTGTACTTGCTCCTAAACTCACTGCATATCATCAGCTGACCATTGGATTTTGTCACCAGCTCCTGTCATTTTTCACTACCTTCCCAGCAACCAGTTCCAAGCCTGATATTCCTAATTCTTTAAGCATGAAAGTGGATCACATTTTGTGTCAAACCAACCTGGGCTCAACTAGAAGTGCCATATACAAACCCTGAGGCTTTGGGCAAGTTACTGAACCTTAGTGGGTCTCAGTTTTCTCATCTATGAAATGGAAAGTCACAAGACCTTTCTTGGAAGGTGCTTATGGGGATTGAATGAGACAATTCGTATATAACAGATAATATAGTGCTTGGCATCTAGTGAATGTTTGGTAAATGGGATGATTAGTGCTATGACTGTTGTTTCTCAGGTTTAAAACTCCCTCTCTTATGTATCCATGGATGGCTCATTCTGATGCTGAGAGGTGGGAGGAAGAAGAGGGACCCACAAAGGAGATGATAAAAAGTCAATGCAGTTTGTGCTCCCTGCAGTGACCTCATCCTTCTGACTTCTGGGCTGTAGGGTCTCTTCCACACCCACAGAGAGAACTGGGCTCCAGCCAAGACCCCCATTCTCCCGCCAAACCTTCTTACTTGGGGATCAACAAGCAGTGTTGCTGTTTCTACCTCTTCCACTCTCTTCAGCTGGAGCCTGCATTTTGTGTCATCTGTTGCCTTTGCCTCCCCAAACACCCTCCTTTCCCTCAAAGTATCTAGAATCAAAGTTTTAGAAATCGTCTAGTCCAATCCCTCAAAAACTGAAGTTTAAAATTAAAAGCCATTTAAAAAAAAGGTTCTTCCCTGGCTGGCGTAGCTCAGTGGTTGAGCATCGACCTATAGACCAGGACAGTAGTCGGCAAACTCATTAGTCAACAGAGCCAAATATCAACAGTACAACGATTGAAATTTCTTTTGAGAGCCAAATTTTTTAAACTTAAACTATATAGGTAGGTACATTGTTATTAACTTAATTAGGGTACTCCTAAGGCTTAGGAAGAGCCACACTCAAGGGGCCAAAGAGCCGCATGTGGCTCGCGAGCTGCAGTTTACCGAACACGGGACCAGGAGGTCACAGTTTGATTCCTAGTCAGGGCACGTGCCCGGGATGTGGGCTCAATCCCCAGTGTGGGGTATGCAGGAGGCAGCAGATCGATGATTCTCCCTCATCATTGATGTTTCTATCTCTCTCTCCCTTCCTCTCTGAAATCAATTAAAATATATTTTTAAAAAATTTCTTGCACAATTAAATTTAGTAAAGTAGGCCTTCTCCCAGTCAATCTGCACGCATCCATCATCATTGCAGTATGTGCACTGTGTGTGCACAAACACTTGCATTTTCACTGTGCACAGCCAACCTCAGTGCAGGTCTGTCTGGGACTTTGCACCCCTCCCTCACAGGCCTAGTCAGCTATCCAAGCCCCCGGTGATATACGTAAGTATGGATGGCTAATGATGGACAGTAACAGGGCACTGCTCACAATCACACACCCTCACACATTTGCGCACTCTAACATCCCCCGAGGTCCACGGTAAATATGAAAGGAGACTCTAAGGAGACAGGCATGGTGTTTGTACACAGTGAGGGGAGAACAAAGGGAACAGGGAGCCTGGGGGTGGCAGGCAGGAAAAGCAGGCGAGGCAGACGGTTAGATGAGTCAAAGAGAGTGAATGAGGGCACTGGGTCGCATCAGCTATTGCTTAGCTGCCTCCAGAGGGTAGTGTGAACTGGAAGAAGGGAATGGGGGGGAGGCGAGAAGGGGAGTTGGTGCCATTACTCAGAAAGTGGACACCAGTTCAGCTCATTTCCAGGAAGGACCCAAGCTCTCGCCTTTTGATCTGGTCTCCCCTTGCCTCCTCAATCCATCTTGCCTGGCTCTGCTACTAGGGCTTCAGGGTTATGGCAAGGCAGCCGGGATGGCAGAGGAAGGAAGGAAGGAAGGAAGGAAGGAGTTAAGCCAACAACAAAGATGTCAGTCCTGGAGATCACTGGACCCCTGCTTGGCAGACAGAAGCCACCCGTGGCTGCTAGTGCCCTCCATTTATTTGGTGCTCTCAACATATTTCAAATACCCTCACACTAAAGGTCTCATTTAGTCTTCAGCACAGCCCAGTGAAAGAGGCAGGTCTGGGATTATCTCTGACATGTCCCTCTCCTCTTTTCCCTGTGGGTCCCTCAAGGACCCTCAAATTGCTTCCTCCACAGAAACACCCCCCCCAGGGCCTATAAGGAGGTCCTCTGCCTCGGCTCCATTCCCGGCTTGCTTGCTGCTGTCTGTCCGGGGCTGGGTCTGACGAGAAGTCACAGGATATGGAATCATTCCCCTCTTGGAATTTCCCAGGCACCCTCCCCCTTTGCTTATATCTGAAAGCCTGACACACAATGTCCATTTCACCCACTCCCCAGAGAGCTATGTCAGACTTCTCCTCATTAGGAGAATGGAAACCTGAGGCCTAGAGAGGCAAAGGCCTTTGCCCTGAGTCACATAGTGAGCAAACATGGAGGGCTCCGTGATGACTTGGGAAGAACACAGGACTGGGGAAATCAGAAAACCTGGGTTCCAGTCCTGGCTCCGCCCCTTATCAGCCAGAGTCACCAGTCACTCAACCTCTCCAGCCTTGGTTTTCATTAACTGTCAAATGGAAATAATACTCATCTCTTGGGATTGCTGGAAAGATTATAAGAGATCAAGATGTCAAAGTATTATATAAAAATGAATTACTCTGATTATCAAGTGGCACAATTAACGTCAGGATTATGGCATAATGGAAAGAGGCTGGGCCAAATATAGTTTGGGCTCTCCTTAACTCACCTGTGGGGTCCTGGGCATGTCCTGGCCTCAGTTTTCCAAGGCGGTGCCAGCTCTAACACAGGGTTCTGAGGGCTATGCCTCTGGTGCAAAAATTCTGGCATCAGCCACCCTGATCTCCTGACTGTCCTATTATCTGTGCCCCCACACTGCCTTAGATCCAAGCATCTTATTGAGGGAGCCAGTCAGTCCCCCACAGTGGGAGGTCCCGCTGGAGGCTTTGCTCCATCCCTCTACCCATGTCCTCAGGGCTGAAGTAGGCTTCCGTACTCTCTTGGCCTCAGTGGCTTCTCAGCCTTAAGGATGGAGGGGGGTAGGGATGGGAAGGGGAGCGAGGGGCATGGCAGGTGGGCATAGGTGCTCTTGGTAGTGAAGCCAATGACTGATTGCCCATGGAAGATTTCCCAGTGGAAAGCACAAGACTGCCCCGATTCCCTTCCTCCTAGGGAGAGCTGACTAACACATCCTGCCTTTCACATCCTGCTTCTCCCAGGATGACCCCAAATGTGCCAGGCCCCTGAGGAAGCAGCTCGGCATGACCCTTGCTGAGCTCATAGAGGCGAATTAAATACTAAATGTGCCAGGCTAGGGCGCCTGGTGCAGCAGCACATCCCCACAACACGGACAATGGCATCCCACTCATCTGTCACCACCCCAGAGGCTCCAGCCCTCCCTTTCCAGGCTGGACTTCCCTGCTCCCAGCCCACACTCCTGAGAACAAGGAATAAGAAATAGTAATGTTCTGCTGTCCCCAGGAAGTGACCAGCTATGGGTCCCTGTGACCTTCTTCCAACCCCCAGTGTTGATGGCCCCAGGGACCTAAAAATGCCAGGAACATTGAGTTATGGCATCTGCAGCACTAAAATTTAGCAGGTCTGTGGCTGGCCAGGCGGGGGCCTCGGTAGCTAAGCCTAGCCCCTAAGGCCTGGGGGCTCCCAGGGGGAAAAAACAGCTCAGGAAGGACACTGAGGCCTGATATCTCCCAGGGCAATGGGGAACTGGCTCTTACTGGGATGAGGCCTTATTCTGCCTCAGTTTATTAATACAGGTCAAAGAATTAGCAGATTGGAAGAGCCTCAGAAATCATCCAGGCCAATCTTCCATTTTACAAAAAGAAAAACTGAGGCTTTAGGAAAAGAGGAAGCCACTTACACAAGGTCTCTCACTGAGACTAGACTCCAGGTCTCCAGTGTAGAGCCCAGTAAGTACTCTTTCCACCCTCTGCCGTGATCCCCCAAACTCCTTCTTAATGATACCATGTAATGGGCCTGCTCCGCATGGGCCCAATGGACCTCATTCACAGGGAGCAGAACCATTCCCAGTCCCACCTTGCCATCCAAGAACTGAAGAGCATGAGGCCCAAGGGTTCCCGCTCAGCTCTGCCACTTCGCAGGATGGTACCTTGGTCATGTCCCTTCTCTGAGCCTCAGTTCCTCGCCTGTAAAATGGGGATTTAAGAACCAGTTCCCCAGATGGCTACTGTAAGGATCAAACGAGATCACATATGTGGGATACTTTGTAAACTGTGAAGTGCTATCCAAATGTCAGATATTATTAAAATGGTGTGAGGCTTGAAGGTGCAGCAGAGAGAGGAGGTCACAGGTGAGGAGGCTATGCACGAGTGAAAACCCACAACCAAACGAGGCTGAGGGCCTGCCTGGCCACCCCATGGACCTGACTGATACTAGGGGCCACCAGCAGAGACTGACAGGCAGCAGGTCAGACCAGCCCAAGTCCATTGGCCTAAGAGACTGGCTGCCTGCTTTGTCGTGTGTGTGTGTGTGTGTGTGTGTGTGTGTGTGTGTGTGTGTGTGTCCTAGGTACTCCAGGGAGGCTAGCCTGGAATTTGCCTGGCTTTTCCAGGGGAGCATTTGGCAGGAGGGCAGTGTATGGTGCTGGGAAGGGACCCCTTGCTTCAGCCAGCTCACAGACCCACATAGGGAAGCCTGTCAGCCCAGATCCCTCTGGGGACCTCTGGGTGTCCCTGCTTCCTTGGGGACCTTACCTTGTACTTGGCTGCGAGCAGCTCTGTGGCCTGCTGCTCGCGCCGCAGTTCTTCCAGCATCTTCTCCTTCTCCTCCAGCAGCTTCTGCTTCTCCTCGCTGACCAGGCTTCGGTCATCCTGGATGGCTGCCTTCTCTTCCTCCAGCCGTTCCTTCTGCTCCTGCAGGTAATTCTCCATGTTCTTGTCCAAGGCTGAGTCCAGGATGGGCTGGGGCGGGCGATGGTTGTTGTTGTTGTCATCCTCCTCTTCGGCCACCCAGGCCTCGATCACTGGCCCCTCAGGGTAGCCGGCCGGGGCCGACACGGCCTTCTTTCTACGACTGCTCTTCCTCCGGAGCCGCTTCCCCAGCATCCCTTTCTTCTCTAGCTGGGCCTTCAGGCGGGCGATCTCCTCCTGGAATTCCCTCAGCAGCGTGTCCTTAGGGTCCTCGTTCACCCGGGGCCTGTTCTTGATGTTTTTGGCCCGGTTGGCAAAGCGCAGGGTAGAGAGGCTCTCATCGTAGCTGTGAGAAGCTGGCCCCAGCGTGGCCACCATAATGGTCTTGGCATTCCCCCCAAGAGAGTCCTGGAGCAGCCGGGTCAGTTTGGAGTCCCGGTAGGGGATATGGGTGCTCCTGTTGCCCGCCAGAGCAGCGATCACGTTGCCCAGGGCAGACAGCGAGAGGTTGATTTTAGAGGCTTCCTTAGGCCTCTCCCCACTCCCACCGCCCCCTCCACTGCTGCCACTACCTGTGGACTGTGTGGCAGCCCCTCCAGCTGTGTTGGGGCCCGCCTTATTCTGCCTCTCACTGCCAGCCAGGTCCACCAGGTTGAGCTTGCCCACACGGATGTGGTCCTGGCCATCTGATCCACGCTCACTGCACTCCACGGTGATGACGAAGATGGCGTGGGAGCGGGAGCTGACCTCATTCATGTGTGTGCTGCCCACTGCCCGGGTCTGGTTCCCCAGGTTCATCACATGCTCGATCTCTTTGACATTCTTGGTGACAAAGGAGGAGAGGTCCTTGATGTAGACACCTGTCTCTGGATTTTCCTTCAGCTCCAGCCTCTTGCCAGGCTCCTTGGAGAGCAGGTCTCGGATCTCCTCCTGGTAGATCTCCAGGTAGGAGGCCCGGACCAGGTACTGCTGGTTCTGGGAGCGAGAGATGTGGGTGAAGATGTGCTCGAAGGCATTAGGGATGACCCCACGCAGCTCGGGCTCCACCCAGGTCCCTTGCATGGTGTAGGTCTTGCCAGTGCCCGTCTGGCCATAGGCAAACACCGTGCCATTGAAACCCTGAAGCACTGAGTCTACCAGGGGCCTCACAGTTTCATCATACAAGTCTGCCTGCTTGGAGCTGGCATCATACACGGCATCAAAGGTGAAGGTCTTGGGCAGCTCCCCCAGGGCAGCACGGGGGTTCCGCAGGGTCACCTGGCCCAGTTTCACGTCCATGGTCAGGATTTGCTCATGACCAGCAGCCTCCTCCTTCCGGCTGAGGGGGCGGCACCTGGCCACCACCTTCAGGGCCTCACTGCCCTTGGTTTTATTGGCCATCTTGCTCCTGTCCTTCCTGCCCCAGGGACCCGTCCGTAGGCTGGGCAGTCCTGCGTCCTCCCTAGGTAGGTATCAGCGGGGCCGGCCCAGCCCCGAGGCGCCGCTCTTCAATCCGCACGCAGCCTCCTAGGGTGGGGATGCTGGGAGGTGGCCCCGCCGCCGCTGCAGTCCGGGCCTCCTCCGCTCTCTGGTCCTCGCTGCACCGGCTGGACAGGGAGAATTAGGCAGAATCTCCGGGCAGCCGCGGGAGCCGCGCCGGCTGGATGGCAGTGCCCGGAGCCTGCCCCATGCTGGGGCAGAAGAGCCCAGGCGTAAACAGCTACGGCAACAATGAGATAAAGGAAGAGGAAAATGGGATGGGGGTGGGCGGCAGAGCTGTCTTCTCAGCCTCCTCCTCTAGGGATCCATGGCGGGGGCTGCGGGTCCTGGGCGGCCGGGGGTCTCGGCCCTGCTGAGGGCAGAGGCTCACCTGGAGTCCTCCTCCCCAGCTGGGGGGTCATTCATTGCAGCCAGCGCTGCTGCTGCCGCTGCCGCCTCTGCCCTTCCCCGCCGCCACCGGAGAATGAGAGAAAAACAGAAGGCGATGGGGCGGAGCAGCGGCGGCGAGACTGATGTTGCCGCTGCGCTGTGGCCCCAGCTAAGCCTCCAGGCTGGGGTGGGGCGCGGGGCGGGGCCGCGGGACGGGAGGCGCCAGTCCGCCGCAGCCAGTGCGCCCGGGACCGGGGTGCATCGCCGATCAGCGCCCTTAGACCCCTCCGGAATGACAGACTCTGGTGCCGACTCCGGTCCTGCGCCCACCAGGCGAGTGGCAGCGCAGCCACCGCCCGCCGTCACCCCACGGAGCCGAGCATGCTGGGAGTTGTAGTCCCGCCTTTGTTAACCCGGATCTGGCAGGTTGCTGCTGCCTTCTCACATCAGGGGAAGCCCCTCCCTCTCTGGCATGAAACTCCCAGCGTGACTGCCGAGGTTTCAGCCTACCTGGTGGGGGGAGGGGGGTGACCCACTACCCACATGTGTTCCCTCCACAGCCACCATCCTGGTCTCTCCAATGCGCCTGCCTTTCTGTCTGCAGACAGGTACATGTCACCCCTCCCCTTCAGGGTCTCCAGGTACCGTAATTCCTAATCTTTTCCTCGCCCTACCCTGGTTTACTTCTGTCTTCTTCTCTCTCCTGGAGCCTCCTTCCAGCTGATTTTCTCCTCACCTCCTCTCCCCACATGCACCCCTCCTCCTCCACCAGCCTTCTATCCTATATAATAAAAGGCAATATGCAAATAGACCGAACAACTGGTCGCTATGACGTGCGCTGACCACCAGGGGGCAGAACATTGCGGGCGTCGGCTGCGGTGGGATGGTGGAACAGGTGAGCCGGGGTGCCTGACCAAGGTGGGGCGCCAGTCACTGTCTTCGGGGCGAGCCTCTGGTGGTTACTGAAAATTCTTTGCTTCCCCGTGCTGCGGTCCCGCCTGGCGCTCACACCTACTGCCGGTGCTGGCCCTGCTCACACCCGCTGCCAGTGCCCGGTGCCAGCCCCAATTGCTCGGTGCCATCAGCAGGTGCGAGCAGTGGCTGCTGGCCCCGATCGCCCCTGAGGACTTCTCCACCTCCCCCTGCTCCTGAGGGGTGATTGGGACAGCAGCCACCACTAGCACCCGCTGCTGGTGCTGGCCCCAAGCACTCTTTGCTGTCAGTGGGTGCGAGCAGCGGTGGCGGGAGCAGGGCTGCCAGCAGACAGGGGACCAAGGCGGGAGGGGCCAGGCGGGGGCACGGAGGATGGGCCAAGACCCGCCCTTGTGCCCTAGCCGGTTTGAGGCCTGCGGACTCAAGGGTCCCAGGTTCGATTCCGGTCAAGGGCATGTACCTTGGTTGCGGGCACATTCCCCAGTAGGGAGTGTGCAGGAGGCAGCTGATCGATGTTTCTCTCTCATCGATGTTTCTAATTCTCTATCCCTCTCCTTTCCTCTCTGTAAAAATTCAATAAAATATATTAAAAAAAAAAAAAAAAGACCCGCCCTTGTGCCCACCGCAGCCTTGCGGCCCACAGTTCCTTTTCAAGGTGCACGAATTTGTGCACTGGGCCCCTGGGTATCGTATAAAAGGCTCTCCATCTTCTGACTCTTGCCTAACTTCCTATCCTCCCCCACCAGCTAATTCTCCTAATGGAGGAGTCTGTGTTCCAGGACAATTCCTTCCTTAAACCTCCGCTTGCTAAAACCCAGGCCCCATTCAAGGAGCTGGACCTTCTTGTCCTCAAGGAGTTCACATTCTAGAAACCATGTTTTGTTTCCTTAACTGGCTGTGCTGTGTTGCATCTTTGTGCCTTTGCCCAGAGGACCCTGTCCCCCTTGTGTACTTGGCGCCCTGACACTTGGGTGTGTTCAGGCACCTCCTCTGTGAAGTCTTCCCTGACCAATGTCTTTCCCATAGCAGAAAGAGACACATAATTTGCATAAAACAAAAAACTCACATTCCAGTTCCAGTTTTGCTCTTCATCCAACTGTGTGACTCTGGGCAGTCACTTACCTTGCCCCAGCTTTAGTTTCCTCATCTGTTTAAGAAAAATTGGAAAGGGGGCAAGAAATAGTATCTCCTTCTGGGATGGTTGTGAGACTCAAAGAATGAATCATAAAGTATTGCACCAATGAAAAGACTTGTTTTAAGCAAGCCCTTAATAACGTACATGACCTTGGATTGTCTGATAGCTCCTGCTTCCTTGAGCATCCTGGATAGCCCAGGCCTATGCTTGCTGTTCCTCTTTGGTGTCTTCATATTTTTTTCCTCTAGGATACAAATCACTTATAATTCTTCAAATCCAAGGATGAAGCCAGTATCCTATCCATGTTCCACTCTGCAGAGTGGAGCTGAATCTGTGGACTGGGCCCCAGTTGTCCTTATCCTCCATATGAGATCCAGATAGAGGAGATGCTGTTATCTGAAACTTTCAGGCCATTCATAGAGGCACCAGAAGAATCTGTCCACACAACATTTTCAATCATGTTATTCTCTAGAGAGCCTAATAGTGTGTTCTTCAACTCTACAGAACCTATCTCCTTACTTCTTCCCCATCTTCAAGTCCCTAGGACCTGAATGCCAGCTCAACTGGAAGCTTAAGGCTTAGCTGGTGACTGGTCCATGTCTGTAACTTCTTGGCCTTCCTCAGCCCTCTCTTTCTTTGATCAAGCTTAACTGCTTGTGATTAACTTGGCTTTTGGATCAATTCTTGGGTAGGGTTTTGGCTTTGTACACTAACCTCTCTTGGCTCTGGCAACCTGACTTCTGGATGGACGATTTGGCTGTTGAACGATTTTCTTGTTGCACTTGGCTTTGGTTTTTGGACTACCCTTTCTCTACTTTGGCGAACCCACCTGACTCTACAGTGCTGGATAAAACAGATCCTTTCCCCGTTCTCCCCACCTGATGTCATTACCTGTCAGGGCACTTGTCCAAATCCTCCCATATGGGAGGGATACTGGATTCCCATTGCTTACATAATGTATGACCCTGAGTAAAATATTAAACTTCTGAGCAGCTATTTTCTCAGCGGGAAAAGTGCGGATAAGAATGCTTGCCTGACTCACAGGGTTTACATGAGGATTAAATGAGATAATGTATGTGAAAACTCCCAGGGCATAGAAGACATTCAAGAAATTGTAGTTTTCCTTCCTTTTATCCTTTGCATTCAGGTTGTTCACATTCTTTGTCTCCCTTTTCAGCACTGTCTTCAGCCATCCTTCTTTCCTGCACCCTCTTACACACTCAAGTCTCCAGCCTTTCTGGTTCACTAAAGGTCCTCCCAAACACGTAGTTTCCATGTTTCCATATCTTTGCTCATGCTGTTCCTCAGCCAGAAATGTCCTTCTAACTTGTCCCTGTCTACAGAGCTTCACCTTCTATAATTCTATAACTTAGACTTACATGGCTTCCACTTCTACAGCTCAATAGAGATTTCTCTTATGAAGGACATCAGTTAACTCCATGGCCAATTCTAGTGGGCCCCTTTCAATAGGAGCATTTGACATAATCCACTTCATTCTTTATCAAACTCTCACTGCCCATGGTTTCCATGATTCTGCACTTTTCTGGTATTCTTCCTACAGCTCCCAGAACTCGCAGTCTTCTTAACTGGTTGATCTCACTGAACCCCAACATTAAATGTTGAAGTTCACTAAGGCTAAATCCTAAGCCCCCTTTTTCTTCCAATGTCCCTCTCTGATGATCACTACAGCCTATGGGTTCAGTTATTGTTTAAGTGATTCCTAAATTTGTATCTCCAGTCCAGACTTCTCCTCTGAGTTCCAAGTTATATGTCCAGTTCTCTAATGGACATAGCTACTTGGATAGCTCCCATACATATGAAATTCTATTTGTCCAACTGAATTCATCATCCTCCCATCCAAACCTGGTCCTCTAGGAATGGTCCTTAGCTTTGTAAACAACTCTTGCCTCACCCTCAATATATCCATTCAAACACCAAATCCTATCAACTCAACTTCCTAAATATTTCTCAGATCTATCTACTTTTTCTCCAAGCCGTTATCTTCTCTGGCCTGACCTCCCAAAATACCTCCAATCTGGTCTTCCTAGGTGTGCTCTTGTCTCTACCCATCCATTCTCTATAAGGTAATTTACACTAATAAAAGAGAAACATGCAAATTGGTGTCACTCCGCTATGCCCACCAGCCAATCAGGATGAGTATGCAAATTAACCCAACAAAGATGGCGGTTAATTTGCATATGCAGGCGCAGAGCAAAGACTGAAGAAGACTGGAGACGACTGAAGACTGAAGACGACTGCCGAAACCGGTTTGGCTCAGTGGATAGAGCGTCGGCCTGCGGACTCCCGGGTTCGATTCCGGTCAAGGGCATGTGCCTGGGTTGTGGGCGCATCCCCAGTGGGAGATGTGCAGGAGGCAGCTGATCGATGTTTCTAACTCTCTATCTCTCTCCCTGCCTCTCTGTAAAAAATCAATAGAATATGTTTAAAAAAAAAAAAAAAAAAAGACTGAAGACGACTGAAGACTGAAGAGGCTTGCCTTCTCCACTGCGGCCAGAGCAGAGAAGCATCCAAGCTTGGCTTCTCTGCTGCGGCCAGAGCAAAGGCCTGGGTCCTGGGTGCCGGAGGAAAACCGGTGCTGGCAGCCAGGGAAAGGAAGGCCTATTGCACGAATCTCTTCATGCAATGGGCCTCTAGTCTTTCAATAACACCTGACTAATCATATCACCAATGCTTAAAACCTTTCAAGGCTTCTCATGGCTCCTAAGGTAAAATCCAAATCATTAATGCAGCCTCCAAGGCCCTACATAACCTGGTACCTGCCCATATCTCCTGTCACATCTCATGCCACTTTCCATCTTGCTCTCTGGGCTGTTATAACAATGGTTTTCTTCAGCTCCTTTCCAACTTCCCACCACAGGGCCCTTACACATTCTGTTCCTATTGCATAGAACATTTATCCTCATCATCTTTGCCTAGGTAACCTGCTCTTCATCCTTCAGCTCTCAGCTTGAATGTCACTTCCTAAGGGCACCTTTCTTGACTTTCCCACCTAGTTTATGTCCCTTTGCAATATATTCTCATTGTTCCCTGAAGTTAGCATAATTATAATTAAATGGTTATTCACCCACCTCCTCTGTTGTTCTTTGAAGACATAATATATCTGCTTCATTCAGTTTTGTATCTACAATGACTAGTCTAGTTCCTGGCATATAATATGTGCTCAGTAACTATTTTTATAAATAAGTGAGATAAATAAAAGCCCCTTATGAATATCACCTCTTCTGGGGATCTTTCTTTGACTTCCCTGAGTCTACCTTCTAACTAATCTTTACTTTTTTCATGATCCTATTGCTCATTATTGAACTAGCTTTATAGTACCCATCATAGTCTGACTTATACTATGATTAACTGCATATGTCTCCCTTACCATAATGTATATCTCCTGAAGACAGGAGCTGTGGTTTTTGTCATTGTGCCTCATTTACCCATATCTAGCACAGTACCAAATACACTTTAGGTAATCAATATCGATGGCTAACCAAGTGAATGAATGTTCCAAGACCTTCAGGGCAAGAAAATGGGAAGACAAAATGAAGAACAGTAATAAATTCTTAGATTTGTAGAATACGTTACAGTTAATAGAGTATTATCACATATATTACTCACTTAATCCTCACATCAACCCCAGGAAAGGGGAAAATATTAATACTCTCTTGTAAAGAGGATTCCAAGCTTCAGACCAATTAAATGACCAAGAAAGAAAAGCCAGCCACCAAGTGGCAAAGTCAATCTTCAGACTCCAAATCTGCAACCTGGGGTCTTTTCCTATGTCAAGGGGGGAGCTTACCATGGAGAGGGCAGAACAGGTGCTTCTCAGTCCTGGCTTGAATGACAGTTTCTTTGGAGTCCAGACCCGTCTTTGGCTTGGTAGGAGGCAAAAGCTTCCTTCCTGTTTCTCCTTTGACAATGACCGTCATTTTCTCCCAGGGGATTTCCACACCAGCCTCTTCTTCCAGTGTGATCCCAGTAACAGAGTGAAATTATACCAAGAAGACAGAGTTAGCTCTTTAGTAATCCTGGGGCCTGCAAATTTCCATATGCACGTAATTCAGGATTTGAGTTTGCCTTGTAAAACCAAGTTCTGCCAGCAGATGGAGACATGAGTATGTGACAGAATCACTGGATGAGCTCCAAGCTTCCGGCTTCTCAATCACTGCGACATTATCTAATTCAAGAGACACCCAGTTGTGTTCAAATCTAGATTACTAATAGCTCCTCTTTTCCTTCTTTCTCTGCTGTAATTTCTGTAGAATGGGATTTGAGTCAACTCCCCATCCCCTTCCCTAAAAGAATAGAAAAATCTAAATATTAAAAAGGCACTGTTTGCCCAGCCAGTGTGGGTGTGGCTCAGTGGATTGTCAACCCATGCACCAAGAGGTTACTGGTTCGATTCCTGGTCAGGGCACATGCCCAGGTTGTGGGTTCCATCCCCAGTAGGGGGCATGCAGGAGGCAACCAATTGATATTCCTCTTGCATTAATGTTTCTATTTCTCCCTTCCCCTCTCTCTAAAAATCAATAAAAACGTATTTTTAACAATGCACTGTTCTTGGTAGCTTTGTTAAGCACCTAATAGGTGGGTACAGATGTTTTATTTAACCTTCACATTAACCCAGGTGGTAAGTGGCAGTACTAAGACTTGAGCAGTACTGAGGCTTGAGCCTAATTTCTCCAACTCCAAAGCCTGTGTTCTTTCCACCACTGGGCCCTGAGGTTTAGCTCCCAATCCGTCCCCTCGCTGGACTAACTCTACCTTCTTTCAACACTTTCCTGCCTCTTCCAGCCTCAGGGGTCTCTTCCCTTCTTTACCGCCTTTAACAATGAACATCTGCTTTTTTGTTTTATGATGTGATCATATCACTATGAAAATATTCTGTCTCCCCAACTGAATTTCTTCTACTTTGCTATACTTAAGTTTCTCACTACAAAAGTAATTAAAGATCATCCTGGCCAAAGGATTGCTGGTTTGATTCCAGTAAGGGCACATGCCCAGGTTGTGCGGGGGTCGTTCCTTGGTAAGGGGTATGCATGAGGCAGCCAATTAATGTTTCATTCTCACATCGCTATTTCTCTCTTTCTCCCTCTCCCTTCCTCTTTCTATAAAAGTCTATAAAAATTTATATTTTTAAAAAAGTGATTGAAGAACATGTTTGAAGAGCTTTCACTATATTGGGTTTCTTTTCTTTTTTTTTTTCAATCTTCAATCTTCACCCCAAGATATGATTGTTTTTTATTGATTTGAGAGAGAGAGAGAGAGAGAGAAACATTGATGTGAGAAACATTGATTGGTTGCCTCCTGTAAGTGCCCTGACAGGGATCGAACCCGCACTTAAGTATGTGCCCTGAGCAAAATGGAACCCAAATGGAACTCTAACCAACCGAGCCACCCGGCCAGGGCTAAGTTTTTAAAATATTATACACCTTATCACCCACTTTTCCTACTCTACATGCAGTCCATCTACAAATCCCATCTGGGTCCTGCCTACAAAAATCTACCAATCCTGACTCCAAAACCCTGTGTGCCACCACCACTGCCACCCTAGCCCATGCCACCTTCACCTCTTGCCTGGACACCATGGTAACATTTTAACAGGAAACCCTGCTTCCACCACTCTACTCTCCCTCCTCCACAGAACAGCCAGAGTCTTCCTTCTAAACTATAAATCAAATCACACCACTTCCTGCTCTAAACTTCCAATGCCCTCTCATCACTCTCAGAATAAAATCCGAAGTCCCTCACCAGGGCGCTCAGGCCTTCCGCGATCGATCAGGTCCCTGGTTACTTCTCCCATTTCATGTCTTCATACTCTCCCCTCCCCTCCCTCTGATCCAGTAACACTGGCCTCCTTGTTCTCCGGGCCTGCCAGGCACATTCCAGTTGCAGGGCTGAGTGCTGCTCTTTCCTCTGCCAGAGGCTTCTCCCACGGCTGCTCATGGTTCTCTCTCTCATTCAGCTGTGCTTTCAAACGTCATCTCCTCAGAGAAGCCTCTTCAAGTATCTCTTCATCACTCTCCTACTCTTACTATCCTTTGTTTATTCATAGCTCTTGCCACAATATAACATTCTAGATGTTTCTATGTTTGTTTATGGATTATTTTTCCATTAGAAAACAAGCACCATGACAGAATTTTATTCTGTATCCCAATGTCTGGAAATATGACCAGTTCATCAAAAACCCCAGGAAGCATTTGTTTAATGAATAAATGAGTGAATGAAGTTATTAATAGCCTTCACAATCATTATTTTGAATGTTGCTTAACAGTGTAAATTGTGAAATTTCATTGTGAAATATTAGGTTGAACCATATGAAATCGCCATTTTGTAGGTTAAAAATGGTTGAATATTGTCAATGCCACGTATTACAGTTGCATTAACACTTAAATAATTATTATAAAACAACATCCCTGTACCAGCCACCCAGGCCAAAAAAAGGACATTGCCAGGATCCCTGAAGTCCCCTGCATCTCCAGACTGCCCGTCTGGTGCCCTTACGCTGACTCACCACCACCAATCAGCAATCAGACCAAGGTCCTGGCTTCTGCATCCTGGAATGCTGCAGGGGCGGTTTCCTGGTGTGATTCACCAACAGCAAGAATGCTTCAGTCTGACACAGAGACCGACTTGGGGAGGGGGACTCGGTGTCCTCAGCCAGGAAGCTTCCTCGGAGCCTCCCAGTCCCCAGAGATCTCTGCCTTTCTGAGCTCACAACCTCTTTCATCCCCGGGTTATTGTGTGCCCCCGAGAAGGCGCTCACTCTGTCCTCTTTGCTGTTATCTTCCCCCGCGGTGCTGTTTCTCCAGCTGTGAGCAGCTGCAGGTCAGGGGCATGCATGAATTCCTCTGCCTTGCCCTGACTCAGGGGCTGGACATGGATAACACTCCATGTGAGAGTGAGCCAGCAGATGAGGTTTGTGGGGTGCTTAGGCATTAGCACATTTTGTGGTTAGAATCCCACCTGGAGAAAGGATTCCAAAATGATCCCAAATTCGCACCTCTGGCCTATTGGTTGACTACCGTCACGGAGCAGTGACAAAGGGGCCTGGGTAAATTCCCACGGCTCTGGCAAGTAGACTTTCAAAAACCAAGCCTGTCTCACTGGCAAAGGCTTCAGTATCCTCTGAAATAGCTCCACCCAAGGTCATGCTCACTGATGGGGAAGTTAATCCCCTAAGAAGATGCTGTCTGTACCCTCTGAAGGTGTAGAATCTAAACAGAACAACAGCTGGTACGTACTGGGAGCAGAGTGGCTCCAGGCGCTGGGTGCAGGCCCGAGCTGCAGTCAGGAAACCTGAGCTCAGGCCTGGCTCTGCCACAGCACACCCCGTGACACTGGGCCTCCTGGTGACTTCAGCTCCTGAGCCTGTGCCCTTATATGCCCAGCAAGGGGCAGCCGTGCCCAGGCACTGCACAGAGATGGTGTCAGAAGAAATGGCACATTATATGTAAAAATACTTTGAAAAGCTTAAGGTGCTATACCAACATGAAGGGTTATGAGAAAGGAGAGTGCTGAGAGATGAACGGGGTGGGCCTCGGACACTTCTAGTATGATTTGCTGGGTAATAGAAACAATCCCGTATTTGTTCAGTGCTTGATCCTTCACAAAGGGTTTCTCTAGGTTCTTTATCTCACCTGAGCCTCACAGCGACCCAGCGAGGCAGGCAGGGTGGGGATTATTTCCCTTGACCACTGATCAGATGAAGAAAAGGAGGCTTAGAGAACTTGATTTTCCCATGGCCCTATAGTCACAGACTTAGGACTAAAACTACCCTATGCAGCTCTCTATGCTCATGATGGGCCCATTATGGTGTTCTCTCTGTTTCAGTTGCTGTAACCCCATGAGGCAATTTCCCATAAAACCTGTATGAACACATCCTAGCAGGCCCTAGAACCCCATGTGACTGGAAGGGGTGCGGCAGGAAGGGGGAGCAGAGTGAAAAGGGGGTGTGGTTATCTCATGAGCAATGGGAAGTTATTAAAGGTTTTAGGCAGAGAAATGCTATGATCAGGGCTATATGGTTTTAAAAATACTTTCCTTCTCCACTTCTTTTCCTTCTCCTTCTCCCCTCTTCTTTCTCCTTTTTATTCTTCATTTACTTTATATAATTCCCTAGGAAGAGAAAGAAAAAAAATTTGGGGACCTTCCATCATGAGAACTCTTGAGTGCCCAGCTAGCTGGAGCCCTAACTGGCTGGCTCCTTGAATTTATTTATTTATTTATTTATTTATTTATTTATTTAATCTCAGTTTCCGATGAGAACAAGTTGTGGTTCTCGTTTTGTTCAGATTTCCAAGGTGGTTTTTTTTAAAGGCTCCTTGCATTTATAAGATGTCAGGGTCCTGCTCAGGGACTCCCCTCTCTAGGGGGACAGTTTTAGGGGCTTCCTGCTCCAGGAGCAAGACCAGGATTCAGGAAAGGAGTGCGCTGTAGCAGGCATAGCCCTGGACCGCTTGCCTCCCAAAAGGCTGGAACCAGGTCCCCAGGTCCCTCTTTGGCAGTGGTTCTCAACCTTCCTAATGCCGCGACCCTTTAATACAGTTCCTCATGTTGTGGTGACCCCCAACCATAAAATTATTTTCGTTGCTACTTCATAACTGTAATGTTGCTACTGTTATGAATCGTAATGTAAATATCTGATATGCAGGATGTATTTTCATTGTTACAAATTGAACATAATTAAAGCATAGTGATTAATCACAAAAACAATATGTAATTATATATTCAATATGTGTTTTCCGACGGTCTTAGGCGACCCCTGTGAAAGGGTCGTTCGACCCCCAAAGGGGTCGCGACCCACAGGTTGAGAACTGCTGCTCTTTGGCCTCCTGGGAAGGACCATGCCTTAGGCACTGCCTGAAGTGGCCCAGAACTGGGATTCCAGCGTGTGCCCTTCTCCAGTGGGTACTGCCATTCAGAGTGGCCAGCTCCCTGTGGGCTGTCTGA